CACACTACACTACCATCTAATTAAGGTAAATGAAACCCACAAAGAACTAACACCACCGGGTTGACATTTTTTCTTTCTCTCCACCTTAGAGGGAGAAAAGAGTTGACTGATACTGCAAAGTTGACAGTAAGATCACATGCAATAACAGGACCACTCAGGTAAGATAATGCAGCACAACACCACAAAGGTCAACACAGGTTGCTGATATACTGAGCGGACATTTTGTCATGCGCCTCGAGAAAGGAGGAAAGAAGTCCTTCCTCCTTCCATCCTACAACAAAGATTTAGGAACCAGGATAGCAACCAATCCTCTATAGGAAGATGAAAAATTAATCAGGTAGTTGGGTTAGTGCTGATTTTTCCATGCTTTAGTGGCAACGTTGCTTGCTAGTTGAGAACTAGTTTGGTTTATGCCTACCTAAAATGAACTCGCAGGAAATAAGGATGCTCCCTTCAATCTTTTTTTTTTTTTTTTTTCAAGTATGTTTGTTTTGTATGGATTTTAGTAAATAGGCTTATCTTTTCACTGGAAAAAAAACAAAAACAAAAACAGGAGGGCGCCCTGATGCTTGAAGAGCAAGCTACAAAGACTTCCTATTAGGAAACAATAATTCAGTAGAAAGCTGATAGGAAGATGACGACAGACTGATTTCAGTTGGTAACTGATGATAGGCAATGGCTCTAACTGATCTAGCAAAGCTTATCTCTGTTAGCACATGTGGCAACCTCACTAGTGACCCTCCTCCATTTGAGCTCCATGTACGTGACAGAAAAAACACTAAATGAAAGCAGCCAAAACTATTTTTGGAAGAAAAAGATTTCAGTTTCCTTTAATGTTATTTAAAATCACAGAGCAGTAAGTGAGGAATAAATTCATCTTATAATTCTTCTCTGGGTCAGTATGACAAAAAATGAAATCCCACCAAATGCAGGGTACCTTTTTTTTTTTACTGAAGCAACAGTTCCAAGAGAGCATAGAAAAGCACTCCACATGGGGGGGAAAACAAAACCCAACATTTTCCACTCTTACCTTATCCATTAAAACATTTTCTTCCTTACAAACTTTTTTTTTTTTTTTTTAATAAATAAAAACATTACCAATGTAGAAGAAAACATTTCCTACATGGTCTTTCAAACTACGTTTACCATTTCCATCAGTGTTACACAGCACTGTTCAAATTCCTCAGGGAGGAGCTGAGCTCAGGCAGGTCCCAGTGCCACACAGCACCTTCAGCAGGCACAGGTAATGTTGCTTCATCAGCAACAGCGACGTCCTTGGGGCTGTCTATGACAGAGCCTGCTTTACAGCTGTGGGAAACCTGAAAGTATCTGATAAGGTACAATCACAAATCATGAAATCACGTCATGAAAGCCAAGAAAAAAGAAACTGAGCAACTAACACTAAACTGAAGTGTTTCATGAAAATAAATGTTTGAATATTTCAAAAAATTCACTGAAGACTCATAAACTGCAGCTAAGCTCAAAAGAGCACACAGGCTCTTATCCAAGTAGTTTGCAACAAAAGGTCTAAAAAAGCCCATCCTGCTCCCAATTCCCAGAGTCACATCTCAAGATGAACGTGATGATTTTTATTTCTTTATTTATTTTGAAGTCAACAGCTAAAGGTATCTTAACTGTAGCGTCAGTGGTCACAATTGTGCTTTTTCCATTATATTCTTGGCCCTCAATTGCTGCCCTTTACCAATGAATGAATCAGAGCTAGACTGTGAAGGAGGTAAGTTGGAAAATGGATAAATCTATCAAAACCACCTGCTCGTTATTTCTTTGTAGTAGGAGAAATTTCTTTTTGCCTTAAGACAAGTTGCGGTGATTGTGGATACTATTGTTTGAAGCTTGTACAGCTACTGAACAATGGAAAGAAAGTACGTTAAAGCACACTAAAACTAAACCACATTGCATTAAATTGCTATATTTAAACTGTTAATATAATGCTATTGTTAAAACAGACAGTCATCTGAGATGGCTCAACACTATCAGTGTCAGAAATTAAATGCAAGAAAATCCATTTAATCAAAACATTATGTTTTATATAATAAATTAATCATTCACTTGGCTTTCAACTGCCTTTGAACAAAGTGTTTCATGACACAGCTTTACCTTCTATACAGTTTCAATTCATAAATGCTTTTAACCAAGTAGACTAATTGCACCTTACCAACTGAAACACAAATACTTCCCAGTGCAAGCTCTGGAAAGGATTCATGTGACTGAATAAAATAAATTTGCTCTTAAATGCTACATTTAAAGATGCGACAATGAAGCTGTTATCAGTGAAATAACTGCGTTTAAAATGTTAATTACCAAAAAATGAACCGCATATGCCTATTTTCCACATTTTCAATCAGTAGATCATTTACACATTGAGTCTGAAACAAAAGAGCAGTATCTGGAAGGAAGAAATTGTATTGTAAAACAGTATTATGCTTGTAATAAAGTAAATGCATGGTTCCATACACATTTTAGAGCTACAGTGCTTTACATTTTTTATTTAACCAAGTATTGCATAGTAGAAAAGGAAGGGAAAAAAGAAAACCAACTGTTGAAAAGAAGTTGTATTAAAAGATATTGCTGATCTTCTGGGTATACTGTGAGTGCTTATAACTTAGTACCAATGCCTAAAGACAAGGTTACAGAGAGCAAAACCCTGGATTGTAATAGGTGGTTGGATATTTTTTTTTTTTTTTTTTTTTTTTGTGCAGAACCCCACAGCCATGTAAAGTTTGGTTGTATTTTAATGACCATTGTTTCTTTTATCCCAATACACAAAAGGCATTTGTGGTTTATGGCACCATTTTTCTCATTTTCAATACAAAGTAAGACTCTCCCACTTCTGTCTCAGAAGTATTCTCTTGTAATATTTTTGGAAGATGCTCTGAATTAGGCATCTTAATTACTTCTGTATCAAATATAAAACCAGTAGTAAATACCTGCTTACTTCCAAAGAAATAATGTCACTGCATTTCATATTGGTGAAAACCTCCAGGGTTTTCCTTCTTCATCCTCCACAATGTTAGAAACTTAGAACGCCCATTTTTATGCTAACACAAGCAGAGGAGAAATATAAGGTTAAAACATTTAGGAGGGCTATACAGAATCCTGACTACAGGGCACTTTCTGCTATTTGTCCATTGTGTGGCAGTTAAACATTTTGTGTTAGGAGTTTTAACTCTTACAAGAAAAATCAAGCAACTCTGTTCCTTTTTAATTTCCTAAGGCTTGTGGAAACAACAGCCAGCAGTAAGATGACGTTTCCATAATTATGCTTTTGTTGCCAGATCAAATCTAAGGCATTTATCATTCAGTGCGAAGTCATCAGCACGGTACAGACAGAAGACAAAAATCTCTTCATGCTCCCATAAGGACCCAACAGGTACATGTGCAAAACCCAGCAAGACTGAAATAAAAATGGACACAACGTACAGGACAACTGTGTAGTTAATATTATCTCTATGGTTCTACAAAAAAAAATAAATCAAGTATTACACAGATTACTGTTTTTATAGCTTTAAGAGGAGCAGCAGTGGCCAGCAATTTCACACAAGTCATTAAAATCCAAATAATAGCATAGGAATGCTATTACTAAAGCCATCTAACTTTATCAGAACAAGAGCAGCACTCGTCACAATATGACAATGGTCATGTAAAAACACACATACTAATGCAAGTCATGCATCTTGAGACTGGAGTTATATAAGTTATACACTGAAGAAATTTACCATGTTTTGGTAAATACATTTTCAACATGAAGAAACATAAATAGTGGTAGGAATTGGTCACTAACCTTGAACACAAATGGTAATCAAGGACTGCTATTAAAGAAACAAATGTCACAAAGATTCTCTAAATACTTTCTATTTATTCTCTTGCTTTTTTTTTGTTTCTTTCCTTCGTGCCTTTTTCACTTCTTGACAAAGTCACACAAACTGCAAGCAATGACTATGAGATCTAGGCACAGCATAACTTCAAAGCAAGATATTTTAACAGAAAGGCACACACGTAACAGCAAAAGAGAGCTTCTGTCAAATAGCAGGCAGACCCTTCAGTGACCACTACTCAAGTGGAGACATGTCACTAGGCATTCTCACTCACCATGCTACCAAACAGCAGCTGACATCCAGTACAACACTTTTCCACATGTACTTTCTGAAAAAGCTTCCCAAGCAAAATGTGTGTCCAGAAGTATTTTACATTTGAAGTCACAGATCAGACTGAGTGACTTGATGCAGTTTAGCAAGTAAAGAGTTTACCAGATTTACCATCTTTTGGTTTCCAATCTATGCCCAATCAAGCAAGAGGATAAAAACCCCATATACTATAAAAACTTTTAAGCAATGATAAAATTATGAATGCAATATGTAAGAATGAACACAAATCTATTCACCCTTCAACCTACAAAGCCATGAAGATTTTTGTGTTGATGATGACCTTGTGTGTTCCAAACAAAAAACTCTGTTTTAACCAAGTAGGTAGGAATCTTCTTTCCTCTACTTCTAACCAATAATGTAACCTGGAAGAAAGGAATAAGTCTAAAGGAGACAAAGATTAGCAATTAAGCATACACTACATTCATTTTTCAGTCATCTCCTGGGGAAAAAAAAAACAACACACAAAACAAACCAATCCAAGCTTCTGGTTACATGAGAGATGCATATTATATAGCTATGTCAGTTTCTGTAATGAAACTTCAAAAATAAATGACAATATCCATAATACAAACCATAGTTCTAAAATATATCTGGATGTATATGTGTGTATTATATATATTCAAAAAGAAAATTATCTATTTTTTCTTTTTATATACATATAAACATTTGGTTAACATGTCTTAAATGTTTTTCCTTATTTAGGACTATTTTTTTTTAATAACAGTTTCAAACAGTCCCTTAGAATAATTTTTTTTTTCTTTCTTTTTTTTTTTTTTTTAGATAATATTCAAAAATGAAGAAATATCTCAGGGTAATCATAAAGCACACACAAAATAAATTAACACCATACAAATGTGGTTATATTGTTCAGAAAGTCCAATTCTCCCATTTGAAATGAAATGGAAACCAGTGTACCTTAAGGGTGAATCATGTAACAATGTACAAATTCATTCTCTCTTTCTACGTCAATCTTCACATGAATTTTGCTGCATTTCCATAAAGCAAGAAACACAATAAATCCACAGAACTCTTGCAACAGAGTTGTGTTTCACTGGATAAACACATTTGCTGAAGGGCAGCAAGTCAACATTTTATCACCATCTGAACACTACCAACACCTGTGTCCTTGTAAGCTTCACACCTTGAATTAGCAGCAACATATTTGATGGGTTCAGTAGTAATTTTTTCTTCCAGTATTGGATTAGACTACTTTGCATATACAGCAAGTCAAACATCTAGTACTTGTGTGCAATGTTAATCCACATTTACATCTGAGAACTCATAATAAACACGGAAACAGAGGTGAAAGAGAGCAAGACCTCATCTTAGAATGTTTTCAGTCCACGTACAGAAATAGCAGTGAAAAATAATCGTCTTGGAGGACAGTAGAAACAGAAGAAATACAAGAGCTAACACTAAGAAGTAGGTCACTGTTGAAAGGGCAAAATGGAAGTAAAACTGATCAACAGAAGATGTAGACTGTACCATCTGTTTAAATGTATAAATGAAGTATCGTTTTGCACATCACATACAGTGATACAGTATTATAACAGCTGGCATACTATTAGACTTATGGAAAGTGAATACTTAATTTCTCCTATTCTTAATGTACAGTAGTTATGCATTAGGCTTTGAAGCTCTTTATCAGCCATTGAGAAGTCAAGGTTACATTCCTACAAATATTTAATGTCCCAGTAAAAAAGTTACAAATATTCACTTTCCATGAACTTTCATACAAAGATATTAAATACCTTCTTAAACTGAGTCATTTCAGTCCTATTAATTTTCCTTTTGTATTTTCAAAAGAAACACAAAGATCTCTGTAATTCCAAAGTGAGGGATGTTTAAGGCAGTGAAAGATATGCATTGAGGTTTCCATGATTGCTTATGGTGCCTAAGTAAAGCATTTACACACAATTGCTCTCATATTTATCTACATGATTTCTTTATACTGTACATGATTTAGCAATCTTCTTGAGAAATTTAAAGTGCCACAGTTCAAATGTGCTCATCTGTCTTCTCATGGGCTTCTAGTCCATTCTAGTTGCTTTGAGAAATAAGCCCCTGCTTTAGTTAAAAAGCAGTCTTTTTAGGGGAAAAAAATGCATCCTTCACTGCTGTGCTAACTAGAATCCAGTGGTCGAATCAATCCTTCTTTGTAAACACGAAGAATAGCTTCACAAACAAATTTGTATTGACTCTGTATAAGAAAAAGAAACAAAAACAAAAATTTTTGGTGGATTAGTCAAACTCCTGATTATACAGTAGTATTTAATAGTCTCACTGTTTCATTTTCTCCTGGACAATAACAGGAGAAAAAGTACAAAATTGAAAGAGAAAATCCAGCTCTTCTGGCTGTATTAATATGACATAAACAGAACATTTACTCTTCTCTGAACGAGAATCATTAAGAACCTTACAATAAGGAAAAAACGTCTGCAAATTTGAAAGAACATATCCTTACGCCCTAGGGAATATAATGTTTGCAATAACTAAAAAATTTCATAAGTTTCTTCTGACTTTGATGAAACTAGTTCTTCATACCTTTTATACATCTCACTACAGTTTTTTTTTTTTTTTTTTTTTTTTTTTGTACTCTTACCTGGTAATTACAAGTTTTCTCAATCTCACTGTTGCATTTTACCAGACACATTTAAGTTTTATGACCAAAACGTTACGAGGTAGGATATATTCATGAAAGTGCATACTGCCCTGCTAAAAAACTTTTTTTTTTTTCTTTAAACATTTGCTGCACTGTCGCAGAAGACAGAGTTGCTTTATTTCAAATAGGTAATCACATCACATATTATTTCCTTTCATAGAAGGATGTGATCAAAACTTTTGGAATGAATACTTTTGAAGAGTAGCAGCCATGTTAATCCTTCTGTCCCCAACATTTTGAACTCATTTAGTTCTTACAAGGTCTTAAAAAATTAAATTAGTATTTATTTTCTGAATTACTCTATTACAAAGATGGTTCTTCTGCAATGTTTCGAAGTTCTTACTTGTCAAAAGCAATTAGGCTGAGAATCTCTTTCTGAAAATTGATACAAGACAACATTAAAATGCACAATGAAAATTCCATATAGCCAGAAGAAATATTTACAATTGGCCTAATCTTGAGAACACAAAAAGAACTCATGAGGATCGAGGTATACATCTTCCGAAAGTACTTCCGACTGCTCACTCAGTCAAACCTCCAAATGAACAGCTTTGCCTCAACATCACATTAGGAGAAGCACAGCTTCATGTTTTCTGAATCCCTTTTCATATCTTCGAAATATTCTCCCAGCTGCCATTTTATGTCAACTCTCATCAACACTCCAGGAGGATTTGGAAGCATTCCCCCAAAATCTCTCAAAGGACAGAAATAAAAGACAATGTATGGACTATGAAGAACATTATGTTGCATTTCAATACCAGTAGTTCAGACCTTTATTCTTATCCATACATGTTCAAAATATTTTTTCTTAAGTACAGAAAGAAAATAAAGGAAAAGTTCAGGATAGAAATTCATTTTCTCTATCTCAATTTCCTGCCTTTTCTTCCAAACCTTCAGTCAATTACTCCCACCTCTAGTATCACTCTGTTCTTTTGTCTTTATTTCTTAAATACCTTGACTTTTCTCTTGTTATTTTCATCTGCATATTTCTGCTGCCAGAACAACACAAGTGCAATATTTAGCTCTCTGTTCACCACTTCTGTTAACTCCTTTGTGTGATGAAGTTATTGAGCAAGTAAGAACGAACACTTCAGCACTGCTTCCTCTGACTCAGATTACTTGTTCTCTTTGCTGTTATCTATTTCCTGTATTCCTACTGTTCACTTTGCTCTTAACTAGCTCTATTATATATGTCATAAAGCATTTTTTAGTATCTCTAGTTAGTCTTTTAAAGGAATTTAGTACCTTTAAAAATAAATAAATAATAACAATAAGGCCATAGAGTTACACTAATTTCGTTGAAGCTATTATATTTTCTTGTTATTGTTTTGCTGTTCCTGATGACCAGATTATAGATTTTCAAAAAAAAAAAAAAAAAAAAAAAAAAATCAAATCCAGAACTCTGACACAATAAATAGAAGACACTAAATTGACTTGTTAATAGCTCTGCTAAGTCCATTTTTATCAGGCATGTACCATCTGATCTTAAATTACAACACGCATCTGGCTACAAATTCTATCTCCTCAAAGCTGAAGCTACAGAGCTGCTGAATATGCTTCAAGTCAGGCTGCTACAGCTGAACAACCCCTAACAGCTTCCCCTGGAAACGGTACAGTTGATATGAGCTGTGGAGCCAGCTGAAATGGATGCAGAGGAATGAAAGAGTATTCACAATAGGTAAATATAAGCTAACATGGAGCTCTCTGGTCTTATGCTTTCTCATTGCTGAGTGCTCGCTCATGTGCCTCATTCATGCCAGCTCTGCTCATTGCCAGCTCTGCTCATTGGCTTCTGCATACTTTAGAAATAACAAGTAAATTTAGCATTGCTGTACTGCTGCTACATAATTCTCTCTTAATTGTGCTGATAGAGAACTGTGAAACACAGCATGCAAAGTAAGGAGCCTTGTTTTAGTACGTAGCTTTCACAATCAAGGTCTGATGGTCAATATATTTATCACTATACTCCACATTCTTTATTATGCCAAACAATTCCTGTTGATGACTGTTACAACAGGAGGTTCTCAGCACCCATTAAAATTTAGAGAACTTCAGGTTCTCACATCAGATTCTTAAAAATAAGACCATCTTCAGAAAGTTTAACTTTCAACTTCCTCAGTTCATCTTAGAAACAGAGAGGCATAGGCAGCAAACTCAGTAAGTCAACATTCAGCTTCCTAAACATCTTAAGGCTAAGATGCCATGTGTCATTTCCATAAGGAACAGGCAGGGCACTATTTATACAACTTGCTCCTCAGTCATACAGTCAAATCTTGTTGCATGTCCAGGGAGTGCACTCATATAGCAATGAATGACATAAGACTCAGCAACATACATGAGAAATCTCTATTCACAGAGCACTCTAGTATTACACTAGCAACCTGACACTTTCCAATGCTTTCATACCCTTAGACAACAAAAGACTTCCTCCCATCTGGTCAGTTATATTTGCAGCAGGTCCTTTCCAACCTTAATCATGCTGTGATTCCTCTGCTCAAGGGGAAACCAAAGTGTTGGGTTTAACTTTTTGTTTTGTTTTGCTTTTTAAGATCAAAGACAGAAATGCTAGGCCTAGCTGCTAACTACATGGGTCTAAACTCCCTTACTTTGATTTATCATAGGGCATTTAGCTCTTTTAGATAATGCACACAGTATTCTCTTATCTGACTTCTTCTGAAGGCAGTGGAGACTCCTATCCCTCATCTCTAACATCAGTTTGTTCATTTCCACATTTAACACAAAAAATGCCCTCATGATCTCAAATGTTCAAACCACCTCCTTGTTAAAAAAATCAACTCTTATTTTCATATTACAGTTATTAATATCCAGATTATTCTCAATAATTTATTCCTACTCCTTGTTTTTCTAAACTGGAGTAGCAGCACAGTTTAAGAAACATATTATTCCTACCAAATTTCTACTCCTTTTCAAAAGATGCTTCTTCCACAAAACATAGCACAAGCACTTCTATTTTACCTCCAGTCTGAGAACTACCTAAGGCACTGTACAAAGAATGAAAAACAAAAAGTTGTTTTATCTTCCTGCACAGAATTTAGATGAAGGAATACAAACAGATAAGGAATATTCCTTAGCTGTTTATGACTTAATGGCTTTCTGCATTCTAACCACGTGCAAGGGATAGAAATCAATCACCTTCTAATGACAAGGTAAGAAATATTTAAATATTTACAAGGTAAGAAATATTTTTTGCTCTTTTCTAAAGAAGCAAAAATACTATGTCTCACTGCACTACGTCATGCTAAACATAGAAGCATGAAATATAAAGGCAACTGAAGACAGATACAACTAGATCATGCAATACTTTGCATCTGTTTTAAAAATGAACGTGAGCAAAACGTAAAGAGAAAATGAGGTTTCCCGCTCTATCACTTACTGATGTTTGAACCATCATAGCTCGCTGGTCTCGCATTTTTCTTACAATATCCAGTGGATAAACAGGTTGGTTTCTTTCAATTAAGCACATGGCTGTTTCCATAGTGACCAGTACACCAGTGCGACCGATTCCAGCACTGTGAAGTGTAACAGAAAAACAGTCTATAAAATTAGGATTTTGCAATTCACCAGACTCTTATCATAATATTATGATGTTAACTAGCTTTGCAAATTGCAGGACGATGTTTATACAATTAGAATAGAGCACAAAGCTTATCTTTAAAGCAATTTCAAGGATATTTCTTGACAATGAGAACAACAATTTATTGTTGGACAAAAAATCCCAAAATAAATGCTTTTTAACAGTTACAGCTACTTACAAATCTACATTTACAGCTACTTACAAATCTACATGTACTGATTTTAAATTTTTGACTAGAAAGATAAGAGGTAACTGCCTGCTTTTTGACAGGGACTTTAACCACAGTAAAACTTTGAAGTACCATTCACAATGAATTCACAGAGATAGTGGAGGATAAAAATGGAGAACAACCTACATTACAGATGATCAGCTTTGTGATAATTTTGTAACTAAGCAATTTCACCAAAAGGATGCAGGAGAAAGGAAAGAAACTGATATTTCTATCTTAGTATTCCCATTTAATTCAAGGAATCTGCTACCTTCCAGACAGTTCTCAAAGCAAATGTTTATAGTAAGGCTACAGCAAGGGTATGTGTAGAATTTTAAAACACAAGTACCTGCAGTGAACGAGAACTGGCTCATTCTCTATTCTCTTTGGCCTCATGCAGGTCACAAACTCCAAGAAATCCATGGAGTCATCAGGAACACCATGATCGGGCCAAGCAACATACTGAAGATGAGTGACAGTGTGTTGCTGTTCTGTCTAAAACACAGTAAGATTTGCAAAGAGTGTTCAGTATTACAATTCCTGTGTTGATGTTTATTAGGTACAAGTCACAATTTTCACATAATCTGCAGATGCTGTAAGTTGTCTATGACATTGAAAACGTTTGTCATTTTATAATTCAGAATAATGTATGAACATGTAATTCTTAGCATTTAACAGACACTTCCACATAAATGAGGTATCAAGTTTTACTTGTAATCTAAACAGATTTTAAAAACAAAAAACAAACAAACAAACAAAAAAAACAACCAACAAAAACCCCTAAATTCTTGGAGATCTTCAATTTTTAAGTTTATTGACTCTTGACATCAATGATTCACCTGAGGTAAAATGCTACGCAACTTACACAACAGTTGAGGAGAGACTGCAAGAAATAGCTGGAAGCCAAAGAAGAAACATTCAGAATTACACCAAAATAATGAGCATCAGGGCTTCCCAATCACAGCTCAAAAGCATTGTTTTGACATTTCATAAAAATGAGGCTAGCACATCTAAATGCTACAGGAATGCTACACTGGCACCACTAGCTCAGTGGTGAAAGGTGCGTTTCACTTGTTCATAACCTGCAGAACATTAAGCCCTGCCATAAAAAACAGATGAATGCCATTTTCTTCTCATTCTGCAAACCAATTCAATCTCCCAAAGTATAGCTGCATATCTTATCTAAATACACCTCTGTGTGTATTTACAGACTGTTAAAATATAAAGTTGCCTCTAACATTTGCTTGTTGTAGTTTCTGTTGAAAAACTATATACGTTAATTGTAAACATATAAATGATTTCTGTTCTGCCACAGGACATTTTTCTTTATGAACACAAGCTAATTACTTGAAAGATTCTGCTATATGAATAACAAGTTTTTTTTCCATTCAATCATACTTAAAAGCAATTTTATAGAATATCTTGCATTTTAGCTCTGTGCTAGCTTTGAAACCATTCAGGTTAGGCTCAAATGTTATGTTACAGGTGTTGCCAATGATTAGTCCGAAAAATAAAGTAAACAAGAAGCCAAAGACTCTGAGCATTGCTGTATTGTGCAATGAGGATATACCACTCTTCATGAACTAAGCCTTCATATAATTCCTTTATTTCTTCCACACATAGCAGTAGATACACTGTTAGTTTCTGTTTGACTGATGTCCATAGCCAAAGATAACATTTGACACTTACTGAAATAAAACCATCCTTTATCACTGCACTAGACTATAAAAGCTGACCTCTCTCTACTTGTCTGTGCAACAATGCTTTATTGATGCTAGAGACTTGGAGTTTTATTTATTTTCTTAAGTGTACAATTACTGGAATATATGACCTGTTTCAAATGCCTTCAACTTCGGCTTTTCTCTTCCATTAGAACAAGTGGTTCCACTCCCAAGGAGCAAGCCAATAAAACAGAGAAGACAGAATGCCTACTGCTCGTGTATTGAGTAGAAGTCTAGGGAGTGATTTAATTCCAGGCAACATAATTACAAAAATTTATGTTTATATCCAGGAATATGAAGACAAATGCATCTCATACTTTGCTTTTTGAAGGCAGAGTCTGAGCAATCAAAATTAAAATGTCTAGAGTAAAGTCTAAGTGGACAATATAAGCTGATATTAATGACCAAGCTCAATGTAAATCAAATTGTAAATATTTGAGATCTATTCATCCAGGTCATCAAAAGAACCCACAATGACAGGAATCTCTGAAAGAAGCAGCATGGCCTTTTAACTACTTAGTAATCCAGGTCTGAAAAACTTGAGTCTTTTTTTTTTTTTTTTTTAAAGTAGCTTATAATCATTGAGTACAACAAGAGTTGTACATGCTGTTAGTCCTCAGAACAGTTTCTTCTGGTGTGATCATAGTCCATTTTCTGCTGCATGCCTTATTTATTTTTTTATCTGCTGCATACTAATTTGTTAGCTATTCCACATATTTCTCAAGCTTCAGAGTAGTTTGCTAATCATTTGTGTTTTGCTGTAATCAGCTTGGTATTCTTATGGTTGTGCTGTTCTGAGATGATTCAAGCTATTAATAACTTGATCACTACTTGGCTTATCAAAATGCTCAAGTATATCTGTGTTAGAAATCGAGTTTTTTAAAGCTCTAAGAAATATCTCATTCAGAAAGCACAAAACTATTACTAGAGTTCATTATGTTTGAGTGATTGGTGTTTTCTTTTATCTGTTTTTACTTTTCAAGTCTTTATACTCATAGTGAATTGAATTGGTCAGCAGAATGCTGAAAACACATGGAAATAACATGCATTACCAGTTATGCATGTACGACAAAATCTACTACTCCTAGGTTAAATAGAGAAAAAAGTGCTAGAATTATATTTATTGGTCCCACAGTCAGCTCCACTATGCATGTCTGAATAACAGTACTTATTTTTAAACAATTTCTTCCAGACCCTGCTTCTCTGTCAAAAACTGGTAATGAAAAATGAAGAGGTAGACTCTCATTACACTTAAGCCACTTCGCAAACTATTATTGCCTGCAAGGCAACTTAAATCATAATTAGCGTTTCTTTTTTCAGCCCACTAACATTTTAAGTGACAATCATTATTGTAACATCCGAATTACTGATAAATGTAGAACTTCTCTTTAGAAAATCTGGCTTTATGACTCCTGTTTTATAAGTCTAAACATATATATACTCACTGAGACAGCAAGAGCTGCTCATTGCCCAGTTGCTACATTTGCCTAACTTGACATTATACACCCTGATGCTTCAATCACGTGGACAGATTTCAATTCATTTTTGTACTTGCTATCACCAGAGATCAGTTTCCATACAGGTAGAACTACAAAAAGAACACCTTATTGTGAATGCAATTTCACAGGGTTAGGCAAATATCCTGGATTTCTCTCAAAAACACCAGGACCTTTTCTAGGGTTGGCAGAGGTAACATCAAGTGCGTGCTGTAACACTTAAGAAACAAATCTCATCTGTGTAGATCATTAGCAAGAAAAATATTCATCCTTCATCTTTCTGCAAACTGATATCTTGTTTCTCATAATTACACTGAAAGGTAGGCTTCCTCATTTCATTTTGCTAGATTGATTCTCACTGATTAACAAAAGAGTCAGGTGTTCGTAAAAAAAAAACAACAAAACAACAGCATACACACAAGAATTATAATACTTAAGTAATAGGAAGGAAATTTAGGTTCAAATAGTCAATTTTAATTTTTACTTTTCTTAAAACTTGAACAATTCTGTTTGCATTTTACTTCATTTTTGCTTTTTAGTTTTTAATTTTATCTTCTAACAATGGTACTTCTACAGCATAGAACCACATTTACCTTGAAATGGGGCTATCTTCTTTGAAGGAAAATGGCACACTTCTAGCTACTGAGCTTTACAACTACTGAAAGCTGAAATTCTGTGATGAGGCTTAAGGCCTGGTTTGGTGAAGGGTAGAGTAGTAACTTCTTTGCACCTCTACTCCAATCTCATTATGCTTTTGAAGACCTCTGCCATAAAACTTTTCATCTACTTTCTGTTCTTCAGCTCTTTATATTCAGAACCAATTCATTATTTTTTTTTCTACAGTGAGTATTTGACAGAATAGAATACATTCAGTCCAGATACTTCCCAGAGAAGTCTTTAAAGTACTTCTGCAGTGCAGTAAGTTCCAGACATTTATGAAATGGTCAAATTTACATAAATGTCATTGGAAAGAAAATAAAAGGTCTTATTTATAATGAGTGGAAACATAAGTTTCAGTGAAACAACTTAAGAATATTTAATGTGAACAAGCTGAATATTTCCCTCAAACTGCTGTACATCATGCGACTTGCAAATAAGACAAATGGTCTGGAAATGTAAGCCTTAAGAATAGAGACCTGTAAAAAAAAAAAAAATAAGACCGACCGTATTTTCAGTTGCTGATAGAAGAAGGTGCTGCTTATTTACTGCCTACAACTAGTCTCATATCAATTTAAACAGCATGACTAGAATGCCTGCAAGCTGGTCATTCATAAATAGAAAGATGTGACATTATTTGTCTTGCAATTTTACCTACTTGCAGCAAACAGCAATATCCTCCTTAGCAAAACAAATTCATGCCTAGTTTTCAATTTCTTTGAATTGATACTCCAATCTATTTATTTTTCATCAAATCATCCTGTCCATCACTGTGATGTCAATGGCAGGTGATAGCTTATAAATTAAAAATAAGCTGTTCTCTCAAAATCTTATTTACATTGTCATCATTCGTGCAAACACTCCATATTCTCTGCAAGGAATTGTCTTAATCACATGGACTTACGTTGTTCATAAGTTGTCAGTACTCTCTCTTGTGGTGCACAGTTATTATTATGGCAATGGTTTAACTGGCCTTCAAAGGATGAAATTAAATCAATATTTTAGTATAGTATCTTTACTTTTTTTTTTTTTTTTTTTTTGGTTGAATGATTTATTTTAGTTAATAATCAAATCAGGAGGGAGAACGATAATGCACTTTGGAAATGAGTATAAGTAACGTAAAATGTGACAGAATGAAACAAACCTAACTTGCAACATTTCTTATTTCAAGCTTTTTGAATACTGTGCTCCAGCAAACATTATCTCTGTAGCCTTCCTAAGTATCACAGCAGGATTCTAGTTAAATTTAACTGAAGTTGCTTAAAGACAGAGGAAACTCGAAAAATATATGTTCAGAATATAACTGGCTGAAATTGGAGAGGTCAGCATGTTCCAAGGCAATTATTCCCAAAGGTAACTGAAGGTTTTCTTCAAGCTTTTCATCCTATTTTTTCAATGATTAAAGCAGATGCTTATCTTGTTTTATGAAATAGCGCAGTGTGATGAATTTATCTGTTGGCTATGTTTGTTTTGGTTCCCCAAAGCCTTTCCCCCAAAAAAACAAGCTTACTGTTTTCTGTGCTTTTCTTGCACAGGATACATACAGATGATGGAAAATTAAACCCTATTTCTTTTCACCAGGCTTAGAAAGGTTACATATATATTTCATACATTTGCTGTCACTTGTTTCAATTTCAGGTAAAGAAGCACCAAGATAAACTGGGTCAGAAGAATCCTAAAATTGTTTTAACTCAAGTCTTCTGAATATATGTGAACAAAAGGCCAGGAGCATCATTTCGTAAAATTCACTTTTTAGCAGTTTTCCTCTGAAGGCAGATTTGAAATCTATGCAATTTAATACACACAAAGATTTTTCACAAACACGCGTTTCCAATCGAAATCAAATCTCTTGAGAGTTTTGAAGCTTTATCCATCTTATTATCAAAAGCTGCTTGTCTTCATAAAGACCAATCCAATGATGCTCGCTACAGATCAGGGAATGATAAAAACCTGATTTGAATTTATACGACTTTTGATGTATTCTTTACAGAATTCAACAATATTTGGGAGTGAGAGCACATATTAGGCTCTGCAAAGTATACTCTTAAGCAGAAGATGCCCCCAGAAGAATAAATTTACTCAGCTCCAGAAAAGCAGCTGAAATGATGTGAAAAACTAGGAGATAATTCATTGTTTTTTCCCCACTACATTTTGAAATAAAAGCCTTTGTACCTTGTTATTTTGAAACACAAAACTCACACAGGGCTTTCAGTTATTAGGATCATATTTTTAACTGCATGGGACAGCTGAATAGTGAGTGTTTCTTTGAGTGTGACCATGTGACCACTCCATTTAAATGTATATAAAAACTTGTCCTTAGTGAAATAGATTTTAAAAAAACAGAAAAAAAAAAACCCAACAAAACAACACACAATCAAAACCACCTCTTCCCACAGTAACACTTCCACTGGGGTCTAGCTTTAAGTTGATTTTAAAAATTATACCATTTTGTCTCATGGCAGTGAGCTCTCCACAAGTATAAGCCTTTGCAGTAGAAATGATGTTCTCAGCTGATAGCTACATGAGACAACTTTTTGTACAAGATCCTTGAACTTTCACATTTATTAGCATGACTACAGAAGAAGAACAATCTATCTCAAAATAGATTGCATGAAATAAATTGTATGAAAAAAATCACCTGCCCCATTCTCACTAACATTTTTACCTACCACACAATAGTAACTAGAAGCTACAAGTGATGCATACCGAACACAATCACTGTTGAATTCACTCAGAATTATGAAACAGTGATAACTACTAACTGGGAAAAAGAATTTGAGGGGGCTTAAGCTAAAATTTACAAAAAGGGTTAGATAACCAAGTTTAATTGGCAATCAACTAGTTTGAATGATGCCGAACAGAAATTTGCCTATATATTTTCTGCTTTAGTGAGGTTAGTTTCTTCTGTACTGACATTCAAGTTTATCACTTACAGAGCAGTTGGCTGAAAAACAGAACGAAAAGTCATAGTGCTCCCTGAACAGATGGTTTCTCATAACTAGCATAAACCATTCTTCTTTTTAGAAAATATTTGATCAATATTCACAGAATATTGAAAAAGAGCTAAAGAAGGAAACGTATAAGAAATGTTAGACAACCTATTATCATAAGCCAAATTTTATTCCCTATATTCATGCTGTGGGAGACAGAAATGGGACCTGAACATTAATTTCACAACACAAGCTCATGTGTAACAAGTATTCCATGTATTTCACTTCCCTTTTGGTTTGTAAGCCTCCTATATGCACAGAATATTAACAGCTAAAGTAACTAAGTGCCATGCATAAATTGAGTACGTTGGGTTTGAGATTCAGAGCGATTTTTTATTTTTTAAACTTTAAGTAAAGATGATAAAAAAAGAGCTGGTAAGATTCTGTGTACTCTCTGAAATGAATATTGTTGCAAATTGCTCCTCTTCTAGCTATTCTAGGCACATGTGCCATTAACCAAGTCACCCATACTTCATCCTTGAAAGGACACTGAAAAAATCTTACTGAAAATCTATTTATGAAAAGTCAGTGACTGCAACACTGTTTACAGTAAAGCATCAAATTTCTTCATGAAGCTCATTACAGTATCTGTACAGTATAGTGGATTAATATATTACAAGACAATGCAACCCTTCAAAATGTATGCTTTTGAGAAATTATGATTATGGTGCACTGATCCATATTCTATACACTCATCTTTTATAAAAATGTGTATATTCACACAGTATACAACCACCTAAATGCATATATTTTCATTCAGCTTGCTTAGACATAATTTAAGACAGGAAGCATTTACCTCAACGTTTGTAATCACCATTTCTCTAACAACATACGCAATTGTACAATCTTCCGAGTGGCATCTGACACGAAAGCCGCCATACTCCATTACGTCTGGTGGATCAGGCCAATACTGATGACACTTTGTCTGTAGAGATGAAGGAAAATTAAGTGCACATCAAGACCTCAAACAGGTTTCCAGAGCGTTCTCCCATGGTTCAGAAATTCAGGGAACAACTGTAACTCTTTGCTGGTGATAATGTTCAAAACTCAAATGTAGCATGATGGAACAGGATAAATTCTCTGTAAACTTGTGTTATAGACATTTATTATAAAAAAATTCAAATAAATTGGATGCAAGCTAAAAGCTTTCTGCCTGAGACTTCAATTTCGGAAAACCATTTTTCAAAGCATGAGGTTCTATCAAAGTTTGATGAGTACGCTTCTAATTCAATCACAAATACTGAATATAGTGTCAAAACAAAATATAAAAAAACAACCTATTAGGATAGTCCTGAAAGAAGTAAACTGCTTACAGTATTGTGTAAAGAGCTTGACAAGAGATATCACCAGTGCCCTGCTTACTAACGAATATTTTCCCAAGCAGCTGTATAGAACTCCACTGAGCATCAGGATACAGATTAAGTACAAGCAGGTGGGCATGCTGTGAATCTAGTTTCCAGTTAAAACTGCTGCTTATCTATTTTATTTTTCCTTTCTCCAGTCAGCTCTTAGCAACAATACAGCTTACAGTGAATATATTGCTTTTCAATTCCATAAAGTAACTGGATTAAAATTCCCTGGAAGATACTATACAGCTTTAAAATCCTATTGTATGTCATCACAACTTATGAAAGCATGTCTCAAATACATTAGAAGCTAGGCACTACATAGGGCAAACACATCTATCTATAGCAAGTCAGCCACTACCAAACAACCTTGTTAATTCAATTTTACCAGTGGAAATGTCTTGGACTCTGCACTAAAGCCAATAATCTTTACTTGTTTTTATCAAAGATGACTGAGAGCGAGAGTGAGAGGTAGGCAGTCTGGGTCACACAGGTAGAAAAAAAAGGTGTGCTGAACACAATGAAATGGAACACTATCAATTTTCCTGGCTGCACAAAAGGTCATGAACTGTAAAATCCCGTGAAAAGGTGTATGACAAGTTTATTAAAAAAAGCACACATCTTCAAGAAGCATTTCCTTATAAAAGCAAAACAATCACTGATAATTTTTATGAGGTTCCAGTTTATGATGGCTCAAAGAAGAAGTATTTACTTTTCCAAAAGAGCATCTAAAACTAAGTATCTATCTCCAAAGTTTAAAAATCTAAATGCAAAAATGTGTTGAAACTTTAAAAGCTCCTTTAAAAAAAATGAAGTAGTAGACGAAGTTGTGAATCACTCAGGGACAAAAGCTTTAACAGACCTTGTTTTACCACAAGCAAGTCAGTCAAGTTTTAGAATGGATGCATAATTAACACAGTATGTAAATCAATATAGTATGTATTTCATTGCACAAAAAAAAATGGAGGTGATTCAGCTGAAGGTCTCCTACATCATGGTTGAAGAAACTGGATTTGTTCACTCTAGAGATCAAAGATACAATGGGATTTAAAGCAGGCATTCTGTATCTAAATGGTGATTTTAAGAAGTGCGTTGTTTTCACAAGGATGTGTAGTGGCAAAGCAATACGCAATGGGCGGAGGTTGCTTCAGAAGAAATTACTGCAGGATAAAAGAATAAAATTCTTCACTGTTAAGAACAATTAACCTTTGGAATACAGGTGAGAACAATTCAATGTTGGCACTTCTTAGGTCCAAAGAAGTGATGGAATATCTTCTGCTGGAATTACAAAAGACTTGCCCCAACAGAGACCTAAATAACTGTATCTAATGCCTTCCTTTCAACAAAAGGACATGACAGACCTATTCATTATTAATCTCACTTACACAAACCGACATAAAAGTCAGCAGATTAAATTCTGACAGCTAGCATTACTAGCTAGTTTTAGCTAATAAGTACTGAAATGATAGATTCCATTTTCAAGCTGGACCACAAGTTTTGCTCAGACATTCCAGACATTTTCTGAGTCCCTAGGAAAGCAACTGTGACACAGAATCCAATTCTCATGGGAAAGGACAGTAAGCAGTACATGACTGATCAGTAAAATTCAAGTCAATTCTGATGATCAGACAGCTGGTTTGCTTTCAAAGAAACAGAAAATAACAAAGTCACGCAGTTTGTCTTCCCCCAATTAATTCAAAAAGCCTGGCCTTCAGAGAAATTGTTCAACAGAATAAGATGGCCTATATTAGGGTTCTTTAATCACAACAATGGGAAAAACAGTTTCAAGGTGTAGTATTTCTTCAGAATACGAAGAACCTGAACACACTTACCCGCCCACGTTCAGTGAGTGTTGTTAACATAATGATCAGCGACAACTTGTGATCCCAGACAACTTGCCAGAAGTGTGCACACGTGTGAGGAAGAGGCCCTTGAGTAGCAATGTACCTATTCACAATGCCCACAGAAGGAATTTCCATCTATAAATAAAAAGGAGTTAAAGTACAATTAGTTCTCACTATGCAATACTATTTATTTTTAATATTCAGCATTTCATTCAAACAAAGAACATTTTGAAGGATGATTAAAAACTAAAGTTGAGCAATAAGACAATTAAAATCACAATTTGTTATGTGATAACCTTTAACATTCATTTAAACCAGAACTATAGATACTAAATCCCTTCATCTGAACTAGGAAGAGCCAAATAAAAGGTATCTCTGTTTTCAAATGTATTTAAAAATGTAAAGCTGCAAACCTTTCCAAACCTTTATTTAATATTTAGTAAGAAATAATGACAAATTTACCAAAGTTGCACTAGTAAAAGCTGTGTAATGGCTGATACAGGATACAATAAGAACAGCTCAAATGCTTCCTAGGCTACTGAGGTATTTATTAAGAAATCAAACTTGACAAGATACCCAACATAAGTTGTTCTAAAATACTTTTAATCTCCATGACTGCGCTCAGACAGCAGAACACTTTCAGCAACTAGCAAAAACCTCCAAGAGACTTAACTGCTCCGCTTCATTAGTTTAATGCCTAATTATTCACAGTCAGAGAATCACAGAATGGCTCAGGTTGGAAGGAACCTTAAAGACCATCTACTTCCAAATCCCTGGTATCTGCAGGGCTGCCACCCTCCAGATTAGGCTGCTCAGAATTCCATCCAACCTGGCCTTAAATGCCTCCAGAGATAGGGCAGCCAGAGCTTATCTGGGCAGCAGTGTCAGGGCCTTCCCATCCTCTGAATGAAGAATTTCTAACATCTAACATAAATTTAAAGCCATTCCCCCTTGTCCTGTCACGATCAGACAACCTAACAAGTCAGTCTCTCTCCTCTTTATAAGCTCCATTCAAAAACCAGGAGGTTGCAATGAGGTCTCCCTTCTACGAAGAAAGGCTTGTCAGCCTGGAGAAGAGGTTTTCCAGCCTTCTGATCATCTTTGTGGCCTCCTCTGGACCTGCTCCAACAGCTCTGCACTTTCCTTGTGCTGGTGGCCCCAGGCCTGGAGATGCAATACTCCAGATGAGGCTGAGTGTAGGGGAATCTCCCATGCCCTGCTGCCTCCTCTCTTTTGATATAGCCCAGAAAAGTCACAAGATAAATATTGGAAAGCAATTTTCATTAAAATCATGAAAAAAATAGTCACGAATGTTACTTGCATTCAGAGGTTCAATACAGAAATAAATATTAAATCCCACAAATTTATGTTATTCAGTATATGAAAATAATGGTGTTTCTATTTTCTGTGTATCAAGGCAGCTGGTTGTTTCACAAGCGACACTTGATGTTTTATGGTATGAACCTACATAACTCTTATATTCAGGAATCCCCCCAAATTAAAACAAATATATCTTATTCCTTAAAATGGCTAAATTTAGTCAGCTATTACAATACAAAAAGCAAGCAAGTGTAGCTCATTGTATGACTTACATTCACATAATTTGCATTAATGTAATCTTCATCCCCCTGCAATATTATCCTTGTGGCATCATCTGCACACACACACACACACAAAAAAAAGAGGGAATCAAATTAGAAAATAAGACAAATGTTTCCCTTCTAATGAAAGAAAAAGAGGAACTGCAGACAGACAAATAGCAGGGTACAAAACAAAATAGATAACCCTTTAGAAAATAAAGTGAATGATTATGTAATTTTTTTGAACAAAAATTAAGCTTTACCAAGAAGTTAAATAAGCCAGTTTTAAGCATATATACTATCATTGAGAAAATAAAACAACTGATGGAGAAAATATGTACTTAATACTCACAAGGCAGAACATCTTTGTATCGATTCTTGTCCATATTCTGAGGCACTTTTGCACATGTAACAGCCAATCCCGGTTTCTTTCTATAAAGTTGCTGGAAAACAGAATTTTACAAAAAGGTAAGATATGATTATGCTAAACAGATCCACATGAAGACAACAACAACAACAACAAAATAAGAAGCTACTCCAACTTTTCCTAGCCAACTGCAAAATTCCCCTGAATTACTTATTACTTATATTTTCACGCAAAAATAACTTCTATTATTGCTAATTCATCATCATCTCTAGAAGAATTTCTAGAAGGAAATAGAAAATGTGGGAGTCACTGATCTAAACTGGCTTTTTCCTTGTAAAGTCATTTTTTCTTATAACACATACCACACCATTGTGAAAGGGCTAAAAGGAAAAAAGAAAGTAGAAGAACTGAGCAATAAAAGATAACAAAAAAGGTTACAGACTGATATCGGTTATTACTTGCAATCAACTGTAATACAAAAAAATAAAATATTCTCTGGACTAAAACTACCACATTCAACTCTTAACACCTGAAAAGGCAAATCTTCAGTACACCACAGTCTTTTAATACGTAATTCCATCCTATCTTGCCAAGACCTACACCTCGCAAACTTTATCTTAAGCAAATGTGGGCAAATGTGCATATAACAAAAAACTAATTCTGAGGTCAAATGCACTGAATACATGGTACGAGGCAATAAAAGGTACTGGGGGGAAACACCACAAAAAAAATATTGAAGAAATGCAACCACACAATTATAGTTTCCCTGTATTAAATATACATGAAAGCAATTTACAACTGAGTTATTAACCTGGCTGTGCCGGAGTTTTATGCGCTTCACTGAACACTTGTCAAAGAGGTAATTACAGCTTTCATGTTTAAGTAAGATTTAGAATGTGGTTACGTACATAAAATTAAGTGAAACCAATAGGATGCTAAAATCTCCTACTTCATTTAAGAGAAAGGGATGAGCACACAAAACTTATTCTATTAAAAGACTTACTGAATCACAGGACTCAGTGTGTACCATAGCTCACTACATTTTTCATTCTCCACAGCACAAACAAGGGAAGAGGCTGTATGGGAAGAGAGCTTGATAATCTATGTAGCAACCAAACAGCTTTCTTCGGTTCCATTTTAACAGAGACAACTTAAAATTTCTACTTTTTTAGTGGGAGACAAGGAAGAGCAATTTCACGTAAAGCAACAATCCTGGAGCTCTCTTGTTGCTGCCTGTCTAAAAAGCTACTTAATAGAGAGAATTCCTGAATAATGTTTAAGTGGAAATAAAACAGGGAAAGATATTCAGGGAAAAAAATTGGCTACATGATAGTGTACTAATTATTATCTATTTTACTAACATGAATGGAGAACATGATAGTTACCAAAGGTGACAAGGAGACACTGCAACAGACACTGAATTTGAAGACAACCACTAAGCTCACTACATTTATTAGATTTCAAAAGCGTTCTGCACTTCTTTGTAACATCAATAACATCCTGCTAAAACTGCTGTCTGGAAATTAAAATGTCAAAGAATCAAATATTCAATGAAAATTATTGAGGAAACATTGTCAGAGTTATTGGCTAAATTCATGTACAATTAACATACTAAAACACTAGTTCGTATCTTTTGAGTTACTGTTTCAGTAGCTAATAGACTTGCTATTACAACATTCCAACACTGTTGTGGATTTTGGAAAGCTGATATACACCACAGAGTCAAGAATTTCTAAAAGACAGAGAAGACTTAACTCTTTAGAAATTTTGGAAACAAAGGAGAACTCATAAAAGGAATGTTTTTTAATAAGTAACATCAAAATTCTTCAGTCATCAGCACAACATTTTACAGAATTTATAAAAAAAAGGAACAAAATGGGAAAATTGCCACTGCTGTTCAGTATGTTTACAGAGTCTGAAAGAACAATGGCAGACTTTAACAATGTGAAATTATTAAGTCATAATAACCAGAATTTCTCCAAAGTTACAAAGCCTACAAAATAAATGCTTATATCTCCAACAGTAAAAATGAACACAAACATACTGCGGGATACATTTCCATTAGAAAAGTAACAGGATTACCTTTTCAAATTTCTTGCTTCTAATGAAGAACTGTTTTAATAAACTGCAAATGTTTTAATGATCAGCTTTCTAGAGTATGCCTTGCCAACATTTTGAAGAACAAACATTGATGAATTATTCTATACAGCAGTTTGTCAAGTCTCATCTTGCATACAGGGGAATCTCACCTACAGATAATCTGCCCAAGAGGTAACCATCCGTGCTTTAGATTGCAGGAAAAAACATCAGACTGGACACTACAGACCACATACGGAAATTAACATTGCAACACTTCCACATTAACCTCTCAGAGAAGAAGAGCAGGAACAGTCAAGCTGCTGATGTTATATTCCATGAAAGGCAGCAAAACATGAGAATGAGAAAAATCTAAGGATAAAAAAGATGTTTCAGAAACTTCACCTATTAGCATAGAAGAAGAAAAACTACAAAACTATCTTCTGTCAATCTCCTACTATTTTACTCAATAAAACAATTTTTTAAAAATTTAGTGAGCTTTGGGTACTTGAGCTGGAAAAATGTTAATCAAATCTGAGGGGCAACTCATGTTCCTGCTCTCTTAAGATGAGACTGAAAGGGAGAAATAAGTTTTCTAATCAATTAAGCCCTGATGTTACAGTTACAGCCCTGGTCACAGCTATTAGTACTAACAGTATTTGAGAGCTGAGTATTACCCACCTCAAACTGATGAATGACTGTCCCACTTTCCAGCCCTTTCCTTAGCTGTTCCATAGACTCATCCAGAGTTTCAGCGTATTCAGAACAAAGAAGAGCTTCTGGGAGATTCTGGGAATCAACTTCATCTTCCAATCTAGGCTCCACAAACTGTTTAACAACTGAAAGATGTACTGAAAATTAAAACTTTTTATGTTGAGCATTCATGTGTTTGCAATGCATGACGAAATTTACCAGCTTGTGAGAACAATAAAGTTTGCAAAGAAAATTTCAAGGAAGTGAATAATAGCAACATACTTCCTTCATTTAGTTATATATTATATTTCCGCACAAATGACTAGAGTAAATGCCTCGTAGACAATTTCCCTTAGGAAAAAAGAAATTCCTTAAGGAGCTAACTAAAAATGACTGTTTCCAAGCACAAAAGGTTTTTTGCTGCTATTACCTGCTGGTGGGGTAATGACTTACAACATTACCATGGTAGACATCAAGTAAATTTTACATTAAAAAAAAATTAGAAGATAATTAATGGAATATCTTTCAAAGTTTGGATCCCCTCACAGCAAAGCAAACATAAATACATTTATATATTCCTTTTCCTAAATTCTATATGCTAATTTCTTATTCTGTCACATCCCTCATTTTAACATAAATCACAAAATATTTTCGACAGTTTTCTATGGCTTTTCTTGCTAAGATGTTGAAGAACATGAAAAATGTTATTGAAAAATTTCACCACAGTTTCGTCTATGAAAGCTGTTGCATTGCGGAAGTTGCCCACTTGTGGTTATTCACTGCAGTGATTGGTATGGCCCATTCCTACCAAACTACAAAAAGATGTTCTTACTCGTGCCTATACAAATGACTGGCATGGGGCCACAGGATAAGTCTTTAGCTTAAAGCAAAGACTTATCTTCAAGTAGAAAGAGGAATAAAAAAAAAAAAGTTAAGGAAAGACTAAATACTGCTTGGGGCCAGTGGAGAGACCTGCAATAACTGAAGCAGGACTGTGTTCAGGAAGAATGACAAGAAGAGCTCATCTAACTTCCTACAAACATAAGAAATTTAAAATAAATAAATGCTACAGAGGCATATAGCATCTATGCAGTTTTCTTGCCTCCTGTTTCCTAGCATAACCCCTCCAGATTTTTAAGTCATAATGCAGTCAGAAACTCCTTGCCAAGCCTTTAAATAATCATTTGTGTTAAGGTCTTACCATTGCTCCTAGAGAACGTAAATAATAAAGTAAATCATCATTTCATTTCACCTGAAAGTTCCTGCAATCTACATGTGTTTAAAAATGGAGCAGGACTGATTCCTTGTATTTAACTAATAAATACCTATTACCCTACATATTTCCGAAACTGTCTTGTTGCCAACAGGAAATTAGTGAGTAGTCCACACGGGTCAAACTTCTCATCATTATAAAAATATCTGTTGTAGGTTGTTTGTTTTGTAGAATCATTGTGCTGGGGAACAGCAGCTCATAAGTATTTGCAAACTGAAGATTTGTGAAATTATGCTCTATTTCCAAAAAGAAGTTTTGAAAAGGAACATTTGTTGTTTGAGTTTAGAGTTAAAAACATAAGAAGAAATTCCAACTTGATAGACTCATTTGTATCCGAAAGAGCCCACAGTTAAAAATATTTATGCTACTAATTTCAATGCAAGAGGCAATACTTTTTATCACAGACTTATTTCAAGTGAAACAAAACCACATTTACTCGAATAGGCGTACCTATTCAGGCAGAAGAGCAAGTCTCCAAAACATTAGAAGTGAATAAATAAGCCCAGTTACCTTTCCTCCTGACCAAAAGTGCAAGCTCTCTTGTGTGAGATTCTCTGCTGGCTTTTATAAACATGACCACCTGGTCATGTGTGTGTTCTGAGATATCTCTGCCATTAATTAATACTATCTGATCACCTTCGTTCAGTTTTGGAATGCATTTGTCAGCCTGTTTCAAGACAAAAAAAACCCAAACATATTCATGTCATTGCATCCAACCACATAAGCAGGGACAAATCAGAATATTAAATTCATCATGTAAGCAAATTCTTCAGAGTTCTCTTGAAAAAGTTTCATCTTCTGTATCAGAACATCAATCAAAGGATTCAGATCTAAAGCTGTTCTTGTTGCTCCAAAGCTTCTTAACGAAGATGAGGAACAGTTCAAACAGCATATTGATAGCTAAAAGAAGAATTCATATTTATCAGATAGCCATTACCAAATTGCTCATAATGATCCAAATTTCAGACTGAAAACCTTAACAAATGATACTTTCTCTCATAAAAAAGGTCTTCTAGGTGTACAAGATGACATTTGCAACCTTCTGTTTTTATGCAGTGATACTGGAAAGTCCAAATATGACTTTGAGGTTATTAAACTGAACATATCTTAAGTAACATTAAGGACATTCCCCAGACACGGGCTCCTTTCTACAACTTCAACTTATTCATGTTTTGCATAGAAGACTACTTCTTCCCAATTTGCATCACTAAGAGCTTCACTAAGCTTACATCTTGCAACTTAGAGCAATTTAGACCATCTGCTGAACTTTAGGACTTGCTTGGCTTTTTTTTTCTGCTACATTTAGTGTACTTAGCATTGTGATGAGCACAAAGGGATTAAAGCCACGGATAGGATATGATGATGATCCCGGTCAGCAGGCTCATGGTGTCCATGTTTGAGCTGGCGGGTTGGACTTCCAGAGTTCATGCCAACCTCAGCCAGTCTATGATTCTGGTAACATGAATACGAAGGATTCTATAACCTTTGAGAAGAGTGCCAACTTGTGTAACCATTTTATTATCACCGCTATTCTGATTTTTGTTCTATTAGGAAGTACTCAGCTGTACAGAAGTGATTTAGTTAAATACACACTGCATTTTAAATCCTTTATAAATCAGATCTAGTCCAATACAGTCTGTTATTCTCCATTTATAATTGTTCCCAATGTTAACATGGGTTCCCCAGCCTTTATTCATCTAATGTTTTTAGCTCTATCAAAAAGCAAACCTGAAAATGATGTCCTAATTAGCCCTCGCCTTCTTATCCTGATTATGCCTTGCAGGAAGCATGGATAACTTGCCTGAACTAAGTGTATCATTACCAATTCAAAAACAAAATGACAGAAAAGAGAGGTGATAATGACAGAATCAATATGAAAAAAAGAACCCACACAAAATAAATACTTCCTACTACAAAAACAAAAAGTAACACCAAACATTTTCTATAGAAAGAAATAAAGATACGAATGAAGGATAAGGAAAATTGACAATGCTGCATGAAAAAGATATGCAAATAGAAGCAGAATGGGAATAAGAAACAGCCATGGTGTTCTTCAAGTATTCAGTTTCCCAAAAGAGACGCAAGTCAGTTTTTGTATGATTTATGGAGGCAAGATTGAAGAATGCAACTATGAACAATTGTTTAATCGCTGTAAAATATAATGGTTAGCAATAATTGAAAGGATAAATGATATGAAGTTCATATCAGTCATACTAGTCACATTAGGTCAGTCCAGCAGCGGCAAGTAGTCAACAAGAACACAGAGGGAATGGTGTCTGATCTCCTACATTTATCTATAATTTATATTTCTTGGCTGGTCGCTGGCTATTATTCTTTATTACAGGAGAAGATGAATATCGATGTTCGAAGAAATTGTGTTAATCAAGTGACATGTTAATGTCTCAACTCTCTTGCTTGATACATTTTATACAGTCAGATTGATCTCAAATGGAAATTAATTCTGTGTAAGCATAATTTGTAGATTTTTCAGATACTGAGCGTTTTCAGACAATTAATTATGTCAGAGGATTCCTCTCTTATTGATTTGCCCAATGTTTCATTTTATGCTAATCTCTTTGTTATTGTTCCAGGAAGCATACATATTATTTTTCAATCAAAAGTTCTTCTAAATACAACTATAACAACTTCTGTATCACCTTAAGGCATTAATACTGTTTCTGGGAAAAAAATAAAATAAAATCAACAGTATAGGAATCTTAGTAAAAAAAATACCAAAATAATAAATGGTTGTTTTTTTGCTTCTCTGTCTTCAAATCTCCTCAGAACTCTAGATTTCCGCTATAGTAGAAGGGAATTTAAAAAAATAATAATTAGTATGCCACAAATGATATACCGCCTTGCGTGTACATTTATTTCCCTTTCTCCACAAAAGGTGGATCTTTTAGGCATCACTGAAGTTCCACGGAGCTACAATGAACAAAAACACACTCCATACAAATACTTCCACTTACAAATATCAGTTGTATGTCATTAAATAGTCAAGAGCAGGTGAAAATGAATTTACAGAAAACAACATAATGTTAATATTGTTATGTGCTGAAAGTACTTACATATTTTCCTCTTGCTGTAACATGATGTGATTTCTCTTGCACTGCTCTTTATTATGCTGCATTGCATAATGGTTTTCAATATACCCTCCTGACTCCTGATAACTTGCTCACTTAGCATGCTTTTTCATCTAGGAAGCTAAGAAGTCACTCATATCTATGCCAATACTTGTTAACTGGGGACACTTAAATGAAGCAAGTTGGATGTCCAGCCCTTTCCCAGTCTGAAAAAACAGATCAGAACTTCTGTACCTCCCAGAAGATAATCTGAATCTGCCACAGGAAATCACTGCCTCTGGAAAAGCATCTTCTGTTTCTCAACAGAATAAGCCTGCTTCTAGCATCACTTCAGCATCTCAAATCATCTTTATTTTTTGTTAGATTTGCAAATCTGGTCTGTTTTATTTTTACTTTGTGGCTTTAAGTAATAATGACTATTTTCTATTACTGTTCTATTCGCATAATTATTGTAGAGTTCATGACTGAGTTCAGCGCACTGCATAAATCAAGCCATAAATTTCAAACAGGACAAAATGCAAGTTCTCAAACAATCTGTTTTAGCTCAACTTACATCATGACATTCAGATACCAGCTCTGTGAGTGCTTATTAAATTTCTAGAGTCTGTAATATTCAGTGTCTCCAGACTTTCGACGCATGACTATTTCCTAGCAAGTTAGCACTGATATTACCTTATGAAAGTTGGTAAATAAAAAGAGAGGGGGAAAAAAAGAATAAAAAACTTGAGATTAGATAGTGCGTCCTCACAATTTTTTGTAGAAAAAAATTACCAAGGTACTGTATCACTATTATTAGTCCACAATTCAGCATAATAACTCAGTGACTGTACGGTTCCAATGAATGTCCCACCTAGTCCAGAAATATTTCCGTATGTGAAAGTGCATGGAAAAATAGGATCAGTGTATCCTTTGTCATGGAATTTCACAGGTCTGTCTTAGGCATGTAAAGCTGCTACTTTTCATTTATTTTCAGCCTTTCACTAACTAATTTGATAGCCCCTTCTTCTTTAAATGGAATCCCCTGCTACTCATTTCACAGTGCTCCAAATTTTATATAACTCTGCTGTACTTTCCTTAAATTGTTTCTTTTTCATAGGCTGCATAGGCCCATGCCACTCACTTCTGTACTGCATCTTCAATCATTGTTTGTATTTTCAGTGTTGTAGTGCACTCTTTGAAACAACGAAAGAAAACAAATATGCTTTCCAACTGTCTCTTGTTTGGCTAACAATTCCTGATCTTTTAATCCATGGCTTAAAAAAGAAAAATCACCGGTCAGATCAATTTCTAAAGAGAACGGCTCAGTTACTATTTCATATTGGCTATGCATTTCCAGATACCTGTGAATAAAGACTTATGAAAATAGTAGAAGAAGTGATAAGGGAAAGATTAGAATGGTAAGATATTACTTACAGGTGATCCTGGAGTTATTCTTGATACCACTAAGGGCATTTTTTGGTCTATACCACCCTACAGGAAAGTCAAGTAAATAATGACCATCAATACAACATGACCATAAGCATTTTAAACAATCACCTACTTTCACTTACATATAAAATTTGTTCAGTCGCTTGAGGCCAGTAAGATTGAACTCCCATGAGCAAATGTCAGGATGGGTGTACTCTTTTTCCAGTAGACTTAACCTAGTGGCTTTGCTTGTCCACACATTTTAAGAGGCAATAAGCAGATCAAATGCAGCATTACTCAAACCCTATCCTTCAAGCAAGCCTATTTCAACATCTGAACTCACAAGGTGGAAAGTATTAAGGTATTATGGTGAGTGTGCAAGAGATCAGATAGGATCGAAGTTCCAAAATAAATAAATACATACTCCCTTATTCCCTTTACATAAAGCTCTCTCAACACTTCACCAATAAATAGCAAGGCAAAATGAGCAAACATTACCCTGATTTTGATGGTATCATTATCTTATCTGTTCAAATAGAATTTTTTGGTGATACAATTAGAAAATTTACAGGAGGAATCAATACTTGTTCCCATTTTTACAATTCATTTTCATCTCTATGTGATTCCTTCATGGATATAATTGATAAAATGGCACCAGCTATTTAACTTGCTTTATAATACAGACATTTTTTCTAGAAATTAGTATCTTAAATTATGTTTCCATGTTCATATCTACACAGCAAAATAGGCAGTGCCTTGGAAATGTCACATCCATAGTATATGCAATTAAAGAATACAGAAGTTGCAAAGGCCTGTTTTCATAAATATGATTTTATCATTTAAGGATTAGGCTGCCACTTCTAAAAATTTTTGAGTCCTTAAGAAATTCTTGTGGGATATACTGATTTCTCTGAAGTATCACACTAAAAACAAAAAAATAATCATAATATCAGATCACGGTATCTATATAGATCATTTTAAGATAACAAAAGATTGCTGATTTACCTTTAGATTAAATCCGAACTTCCCCTCTTCATCTGGTGTGATACGCACCAAAAGTAAATCTCCCTCAATTACCTCATTCTGTAACAAACAGGAAAAAGCTCAAACCAAGTTTTTCTAAGTTTTAAAACCAAGCAGCAGAAAATTAGAGTGTAACGTACCCACATTTAGACATGCTGAACAATAATTCTCCATGTAAATACATGCTCAAAAAATGAAGAAGCTAAGGTTAAAGAATACACCCAATTGCAACCTTTGAAAATTGTAAAAATTGCAACAAGGGCTGCTCTGAAGGTAATACCTCCTATTTTATGATGATGGCTCACAATTTCAGAGGAGGATGGCAGTAGAGGTTGAACCATCCCACCAATATTTCATTACGTGTTTTTGCCATGTGACAAATGGCAGCAGAGGGGCAGTCTGACACAATGGCAGCTGACATGGAGTTGCAGTTGAAGCAAAGGAGTGTCACTCAATTCCACTATGTGGAAAAAATAGAACGAATTGGTGTTCATCGATGGTCTCTAAAACTGCTAAGCAAGCAAACAGTTGATGTGAGCACAGTGAGGAAATGGGTGGCGCAGTGGCAACAGCAGGTCGCCTCTGCTAATGCAGACTGTTATAACCATGACACACAGGTTCTTGTCCACCACTGGCAAAAATGCAGAGCTAATGGCGGTGGCCATGTTGTATAATAATTTACTGTAGATGAGAATTTTCTCTACCAAACAGTGTTACTGTGCTCTTTGTATTGATTGTAGTTTCCACAAATAGGAGGCATTACTTTGGAACGCAAAATGACAAATGCGTTCTATGGTTTTTCCGTCCTTACATACTTACTCTCATCACAGCTTTTTCAGCTCATACCTATTAAAACTTTCAATGCATTGCCATAGCTAAAGGTGACTTAAAAGGAAAAAAAAAAAGGTACAATACAATTTAAACATTTTCGCTCTAAAGATTATGGAGTAACTACAATTTCTTTAACATTACTCCTCTAAAAGGGTGAACTGATATTTTCTCCAGGAAATCTCCAAACAAGGATGATTAAAGCTTGGCCATGGCTAGTGGAAAGCCAAGTTAGGAAGCTGTTTAGCACAGCCCTGGAAGAGGCCAGAGAAAAGGTGAGGGACGATCTGCTGTCATAAAGCTAGCAAGGAGCAGCTGCTCTCTAGTCAACACAGAAGTCAAAACACAATTTTTAGCCATCCCAGATGGGATTTGTGCTCACTATCAAGACTTACAGGAGCTAGAGTGACTTTATCCTAGAACAAATGAGATACAGTCATGCAAGGATTCCCATTCCATTAAGAACTTCCTGCAGATGCTGTTGGAAACCTGGTTGCTATAAGAAATGAATGTACACAGTAGGCTTACCTATCATATTGTATACACAGCCTTGGAGAAATCTGAGTAAGACAAGAAGCTTTATTCCTGTTAGCTCGTAAAACATGCTCACCCCAGAATAAAACCATAGTTTTTCTGAGTTCTTAATCTACAGTTCAAAGCTACATATGTTAGCATTTCTGACTTGAAAAGAATGCAACTGAACATACCTTATCACAGTAGTACTGACTGGAATCATCTGTTGAGCTACTTTTTGTAACATTGTCATATGTTTCTAGGAAGTGTTTATCCACCCCTTCCAGAGGGTAAGAGTCAGAAATGTTACCAACTCCGTTGGGAGACTGAGTCAATGCTTTAGGTGAAGTACGGGTCAGAGAATTCCGAGTTGGACTATTTCCCAATACATTCCTTCATTTAAAAACAAAACAAAACAAAAATTACATATATATATTAGAAAAGTATTGTTATCTAGATTTTTACATTAAACTGTGTAACATGGGCAATTGTATCACTCAGACACCAGAACAAGTCTTTTTATACTCGCGGTTAAACAGCACTTCTTGACATGCAAAGTAATGGGATTGGAGAATGATCTACGCATTATCATTTGTTCAGTGGAGAACTAGAAGAACAGCAGAATAAAACTAGAGCAAGAGAGACATTTTCAGCAAAATACTTGAAGGTCAACAGTGAAAGGCACTGCTGAAGTGGTACATGAAATCACTGCAACAAAGGAGGGAACGAGAACAAACCCCAGGGGAAAATACTTCAGCTGCCATTCTATTCACCTGTATTACCCCACTGTAGAGAGATCTTTCACTTGCATCATAGATCATCTTGATCAGGGCCAGTACTCTTTGCAAGCATGCTCTGTAGTGCTACAGACAACCAGCATTACAGTGAATTGTATTTGATTCTTGCATGTATGCATGCTTTTTTTTTTTTTTTTTTTTTTTTGTGCAGAGCGTATTCAATGCATTATCTAGTTCACCATTCCTAAAAGCAGTATCTAACTCTCACAGGATGGTAGTAGTGGAAGTAAATCCCAGCATGAAGAAATAAAACTATAAGGGAATGTAACATAGGCTTTTTACATGCAGGATTAGCAATGCAACAACTACTAATAAATATAGACATTTGTTTTTTGGTTTGCAGAAATCCGACTGCAACTAACAAACATGATGCCATAGGTTAGCAGGCTAACTTATTTTTGCCTGTTTTTGTCAATATTTACAACGTTCTCAATTACCATGGAAAATATTCTTCAAAGATATTATTCATTTGGCTCTTTAAATAGTTTTAAAATATTTTAGCGAACTGTAACGACACACACACACAAGAATTATTGGTTTTATTTGGTAGCTTCAGAGAGGTTTTCATGATTCCTGTGAGGTCACTGTTAAGTAAGCAGGAACCATTTATATGTAAACACATCATAACACATTTTTCAGAATATAGCCAATTTAAAAACAAAATTTCACTTGCAACTTAGGAGTTTAGTTCTTAATGAGACCACAGAAAAAAATTAAAATTAGTTCTTCTACCACAGAAAAAAATTAACGCTGGAATAATGTGACAAATTGCTTCAGTTATTCCTTTCTAGCAGTAAAATCACCAGTGGGTTTTTGCATCATTAAATTTTTACAAAAGAAATGGAACAGTTTAAGAAAATCATTGTTTCGCTTTGTTAATAGTGCTTAGACATTTATTAGGATTTAAGTTTTCTCACATCCTGATGCAAAAACTTAATTTTTAAGAAAAGATTTACCATCTTCATTGATTTCAACAGTTATTTGTGCCTTCAATCACACAAGACCAGTACTTAGAAAAATAAATTCAAGTTATGCATTGATTGGTATCTTAAAGATAAAGATTCCATAGTAGAAATTTTAAAGACAACTCACTTTGGTGATTCTTGCTCAGAAGGCCTGTTAAAAATAAATAAATAAAACTCAGTAAGCGAACAGAAAGAAAACAGGAACTCTAATTAGGAAAAAATGTCTGTGTAAAAGCCAAAAGATGTGCTGACAGTAAATTAAAAAATACGTATTCCCGTGCAGAGAGTCTATATCAGGCAATTAGGGAGTTTGTGAAACAAGAAAAAATCACCGAGCAGCTCTAATTACTCACTTCCACTTTTGGCATACACCCAAATACCAATAATACACATCTGCTACTGTAGCCTAAGCTGCTGGAGTTTAGAGTGGCAATTATTTAACAGGATACGCTACACCATTTTAAAAAGTTTTAGATGTAGATCACGACGACTAAAGATGTCACTGACTGTATTTCTTTACGTGTAGGTAATGAGAAATTAGCACAGGCTGCTTTAGAAATGTTAGTTACAATGCAAAAGTAGAACAGGTGCTGACAGAATTTTAACATAAAATGTAACTAAAGCAGTGACTACACAGACCAGGACAATCTAACACAGAAAGGAAGGGTGGTTAATCAGGGCTTTTCACAGAGCAGCTTGGCTGATTGTAACAGCATAATCAAAAGAATATCCACACACATGGCATCTAAGTGAATAAACTCTCCTCTCTGCTCATTATCACCTAGGAATGAAGGAATCTGTGTAATTGTAAAACTTACTGTCCTAGAATAAACGATAGCTTAAATTGGGAGGGAAAGGAATGAAGAAGAAGTGTTAGACTGGTTACCTAGGCCAGTACTCTGCGGCAAACTAACATTCAAGGCCAGGCTGGATGTGGCTCTGAGCAGCTTGGTCTGGTGGGTGACAACCCTGCACATAGCAGGGGAGTTGAAACTAGATGATCACTGTGGCCCTCTTCAACCCAAGCCATTCTATGATCCTATGATTCTATGAAATCAGACATTTAGTGATGCTTTGTGAGAAGACACAGTCACTAGGCAGCTGGCAGTTTTGGGATTTCTGTTGATTTCTCAACCATACTTAAATGAAAAACTGATAAACAGTAAAGCAGTTGGAAACAGAAACAATTGATAATCCTCTCATGAAGCAGTCCTAGTCTTCTAGAATATGCACAGAATTTCCTTCAAGGTTGTAAATCGTGTACTGTGTTCCATTAAAACTACAGTAAAAAGGTAAATATCATTCTAGTTCAGTTTCCTCATAAAGATTCCATAATATGAACAAATTCCTCTTGATAGGCAGAGATGGCAAATTCCACAAGAATTTGTGAAGGTTTGGTTGTGCATACTTTTTTTTCCCTGAACACTACAGTTCATCTTTATTACAACCATGCCCCAACATGTGATGCCAGTGACATTCACTCCCATTCTCCCAGAAGTACCTCCAGCTCTCCTTTTTAGTAATCCTCACAGTTCTTCCACTCCTTAATTGACAGCATTGGAAAAGATCCTTTGGCACCATGCACACATACACATGCTGCCTGAGCAGCCAATCTAAGCAGTGCAGACAACTGTTGAGCTCATACTGCAGTTACTCAGTGAGAGGAGGTTAAAGTTTTTTTTCGATGTAGTCAATGATTTCACTGAGCTTGTTAAAAATAATTTCTACCTTTGAAAGCTCCACCCCTACATAGGATTTGACTGCTGCTGTCCAGACTTTGTGAAGTGGGAAGACAGGCAGTGCAATGACACAAGCTTTTATTTATTTTAGTTTAAGCTAATTGATTTCCATCTGATGGAAACAACAGTGAAGCCATACATTTTTGTGTATGTCACAAGAGAAGGGATACAGCTCTATTACTAACATCTGTGCAGAACTCAAGTTGTCATATGTTAGCCCTCTTGAAAGCTTCCACCAAGAACTACACACCATAAAATTCTGATGCAATTAGACATGATATCTCTATATTAATATAATCTCCTTCCTCCCCACCTCAAGAGAGTGAGGCCATTTGAGACAGAAAAAAATATTTCCACTTTCATTCATATACTTTGTATAAATAAATAGCAAATTCTTAATCACCTCAATAATATATCAAGATACATAAATAAGGGATATAAATTCCTATTAATATTTCCTGAAGGTTCATATGTTGAGTTACTGCACTTTAATTCAGATGCATCAGTCTGAAGGAGTTACTGAATCATCCCATAACCTTTTTGAGTATAAAAAGATTACCTAGAAAATGACCAAATTCAACCCTTACAGAATTCATCAGTGACAAGGGAGCTGTGTCTTCACAAAGTCCTCAGCAGCACAGCATGCTATAGCTGAAGAATTTTAATTTTCACAACTCAATGAAATATTACTTCTGACACGTAATTATTCACCAATGTGATGAAGTACTTTGAACAGGAACAACAGGATCATATTTTCTGGCCAAACTGTATTCTACATTTTACTAAGATATCTTCCTCGTTTCACAACAAACAACAAGCACCATATTTTAAGCCAATAAATGAGAACACTCACCAGACCAACCAATCGACATTTTCATCAAGAAAAAGAGACATTCCTTGCAAGGAGAATAAACTTTCCATTGGCTCAGCATGCAAACACTTCAAAACTGCAAGTAATTTCCCTTCCTTACTCCACTGTGTATCTAAAAAGATGCCATTTCAATCTTCCACTTACTACAGATTGCTGTCAGTGACAATCTTTACAATTAAACTCTCCACTGTAAAAATCTACCTCTCTTCTGTCAAGTTTCAAGGAAAGACCCCTCCTCCTCAGACGTGTGCCTTACCAGAGAATTTGCTATTCTGAGAACTGATGATGATAAGGTAAAGTAAAATCCCAAGAGAAAAGGGACAACTGAAACAATAGAACTGTAGCAAAACTCCCTCTCTACAAACAACAGAAGGAAACATCTGTAGGTTTTGCCCTTGTAGTGTTCTTCAAGTTATTGAAGCTTCTTTTCTCTAACACCTGCAGGGGTAGGGAGACTGAATGTGGCAGTATTTCCATTACCAGATCTTTTCTGAGAACTACCCATTTAAACTGGGATTATTGTTCATAAACAAATTAAATGGAAGATATTTAAAGCGTCATCTTTTTGCTGCCTTTTAGACAAATTTATATACAGCATGAGTTGCACAGTTAAGATTCAGAAATTCTATGAACAAGTGAGCAGAAAAACCATTTAAGGCAGCTACATAGATTCCTTCTGCTTTACACTTGAGCACTATTATAGAAAAACTTGGGGCTTTCACAGTATGCTCAAGTTTTGCAGTGATTTTCTGTAAGTCCCAAACATCCATATTGATAAGCTGCTGCCATTAACAATGAAAGGATCCTTCAGTTCCTCTACAGTTCCTTTACTGACCATACTTCATATTGCTTCATGTATTTCGGTTATATTCAAAAGCTCAATTTGCTGCAAAATGCAAATCTGATTTGCATTTTGGCTTTAGAGGTGACTTTTTTTTTGGATTGACAAACAAAAAGGGTAGTACATTTTAATAAAGATACATATATTAAAAAGAGATTTGTGCATAAGTAAGATAAACACATGTTCTCTTTCTTTGCATATTTGAGTGGAAGAGCACTGTGAAATCCATAGCGGTCCATTAGTAACAGTCTTAAAAGCCTAATTTGAAACTCATGGGGTGTTCAACCCCAAATCACTTATTGGTGGTTCTGAAAGGTGTGTATAAAAACTTGAGGTCACGATTTCTAAAGTTGCAGCGTTCCTACTTTTCTTTACAATATGTTTAGTCTTTATTTCACAGTCCCTTAGGCTGACACGTGTTTTATCTCATCTGGTTGACGACAAGTGGTTTTTAGCAAGCTTCCATCAGCAAAGGTGCAGAAATGGAACAGAGGGAGGATAGAGAAGTGATATTTATATTAACGAGCAAACTAGGAAACATATGGCAGAACATAACATACGGAATAATCCCAAGTGAAGGTCCAGGAAGAATATTTTAATTCTAGGTTTGTCTGAATATGAATTAAATAAAAAATAAAAATAAAACACAGAGAAAGACTATAGAAAAGTCTTAAAAAAAAAAAAACCAAACCCAAAAACCAACAACAACTCAAAAAACCAACAACATTTAAGTCCAACACAGCTGATGAGGAGGATGCAAATGGTAAGCAATGGAACGACAAGGTTAATTAAAGTGAAATTGAAATGTCCTGAGATCCTGCCTAATATTGGAAAAGCATCTTCCTTGAGAAAGACTGAAGTACACCAACTAAGACAACAGAGTTAAGAAATGCAGATTTTGTAAGAACAAGAAATTAAGCACGCAAGTGTGTGATTAAGGACTGAAGTAAAAAGCATTATAAATTAAGTTCACTGAAAGTAATTTCAATTTTATGTCAAAATAGTAGTTAATGGAATTTATCTGATATATCTAAAGAGTACTTCCATCAAGAGAAATGCATTCTAAATGTTGTTTACAAAAATATCTTTGTTAGAATAAAAAAAAAAAAAGTATTTCTATAGTAAGTTTACCAACTTTCACCATGGAGCTACAGTTTATTGTCTATCAACACAGTAAGCTGAAAGAATTGAACAAATGCAGCCTAAGCTCAGGAAATCTATTTTCAATGCAATGCCTTCGTCAGATGATACATCACACTTACATTAGGAACGTATATGCACTTCCAGAAATTCATAGCATAATGACAGTGAATTTCCTTTTGTATACTAGTTCACCCATTTATTTCCTTCCCCTCTAACTCTGGGACTGCACACATTATGCCATCTATATCACCAAAGGATAGTTTTAGAATGTAAATTAAAGATGTTTATAGCTTTGGCAAACATGTTTAACAAAGGAAAAAGTTTCTGCAGGAACACATTGCATTTATAACAAAATTATTGAATTGAAGTAATTTAAGTTGGGAAGGAGTATGGGAGGACGTTCAAAGATGGGCCGACTTTAAAGTTAGATAAGGACAATCAGGTCCTTTTTACAGATGAGATTTTAATTTCTCCAGGGATAGGAAAAATCTCAACTTTTCTGTCAATCGCTTTGAGGGCTTAATCAAGCTCAGCATTAATTTCATCTTCCTTGTGAC